TAATCTGTCTCTTGGTGCTTATGCTTACGTTTGGTTGTTTTAATTACGGTGTTAGTTGGTTAATAAATACTTTGGCTCGTTGGCATGTTGTTTTTATTTTCCCATCTTTTTACTGTCCTCCGAGAATATAAGTAAAAAGTATAGTAAAGTAAAGCTCCCTTATTACGCCTAAGGCGCATCGTGTATATGGGCAGAGCGTCCCATATTTTTACAGACCAATCGACACTGGATGGGCAATGTGGTCAGCATTACGCCGGTCGTCTTTACTTCCCCAGGACAGCCATCCTGGTACCCATTTTAGACTAGGTCGACCTGCGACGCCCCATATAACGATAAAAATCCATGTCCGAGAATATACTTCCTAGATATGAAAAAATTTTTAATTGCTTCGACAATTACCCTTTAACCTGTTATTTAATAAACTAGGAGGTCTGTTGACTTGCATTACTTGAGTGTTAGTTGTATTTATTTTCTTGGTATATCTTCTGCAGGTTGAATTTAGCCTGTTTAAATGTTCTCGCAGTTCATCTTCTAGTTAATCCCTTAGGATACGCCGTAAACATTTCATTTCTGTTGTTCACATTTTGTTTTCTTTTATTGTTTTTGGTTTTACTTCTTTTTCTTCTGCCTTTCTAATCCCAGTGGAGTATGGGAACTCAGCCAACTCACGCCAGGTTATTCTTTTCTTCGCTAACCCATGCAACTCTCTCTTTGTCCTCTTCATCTTTTTAACATCACTCTCTAGCTCTCTTCACATTGTTTTTTTTTTTTTTTTTTTTTTTTTTTTGGGGGGGGGGGGGGGGGGGTGGGGAGGGGGTCTTTCTTTATTTCTGTGCTCCGTGAGTTCCGGTGCAAAGACAGTCTAGTTATATTGTTCTTATCTTTTCTCAGCGTGTGTCCTATCCAATGTCAGAGTCTGTTCTTCATGTGATTTGGCCACTTGAACATTTTTAGTTTTACATTAGTGATTCTATGATACCATTTAATTTCCTCTATTCTGCTCACCAATCAATGAATGTTTGTAGTTTTTTAGTATTCGACTGAGTTTTCTCTATGTTTCCGCTCCAATTTCAAGTTCAGTATTAGTTTTAATTTCTCTTGACTTGCACAAATTCCCTAGTGCTGTAAAAGCTCCTCTTGCCTTTTGTATTCGTGTTTTAATATGTATACCAGTTCCCTCATCTTTGTCCATATTCATCATCAATCAGCACGTCCTTTACAGAACGTCGCTCTCTTCGTGGCACACCTGAAAGCATCCCTTTTCCTAGCCAGCTCTCCGGCCCCATGTGCTTTCAATGCCAATACATCTTCAGTGTCTTGTATCCATCTTCGCGGTGCTCGACCCCTGCCTCGCCTTCCAAAAACTACACCCTCCAACCCCCCTCCCCTTTCCCCAATCATCATGACGCTTAAAGTGGCCAAAGTACTTCAACTTTCCGGACAGGATGCTTTTTATGAGTCAGTTCTCCTTGATGTTCAACTCGTTCAGAATGTCGTATGTTTTTCTTCTTCCTGATCCATGGTATTCTAAGAATTTCAATTCAAAAGCTCCAATCTTTTCCCTCAGTGATTGAGTAAGAGTTTGTCCACATTATCTACATTAATGCCCCAAAAGGTATTCGACCTAGCTCTTGCGATCTCACATCAAGTGTGCATATTTAATTTATCTTGTATCTGATTCCATGAATGGTACAGAAGAGGAATTTCATTAGCGATGTCCAGATCATCAAGCTACTTTGAATGGGTCCACTGAATTCCATTACTTGCGTTGGCAGTCGCTGTCTTCATAACCCAGTCTGTTGCCAGTGAAAATAGGAAAGGCGACAAATGATACTCCTGTCACACACCTGTTTTTATTTCAGATGTATCTGTTAGTTTTCTCTCATCAAGCATTTTATGTCTTTATATGTAGCCTTTGCAAAGTTTTTTACCACTAGGTTGCGATATTTGCGCCTTTCGTCTCAACATTTCCGATTTGAGTAAACTCGACTGCGAGCGCGCGCGTGTGCGTGTGTCTGTGCGCATGCTTGTGTATGTATGTGTGTGTATGTGTGTGTGTGTGGGCTCCCCTAATCAATGAAGTATACAGCTAAAGGAACATACACTCAAGTATCCGCAGGTGGCTGTTTCAGAAACATGTAATCATGGACTGACAAAGAGAACAAACACCAGTTCAAATATTAAATGCAATCCTAATATTTTACACTACAAAGGTATAAACATTTTGAAATAAAATAACATGGTACAGTCAGAAAGTGTGAAATAAAGTAAAATAAACAATACTTATTTCGTCTCTCTCTCTCTCTCTCTCTCTCTCTCTCTCTCTCTCTCTCTCTCTCTCTCTCTCTTTCTCTCTCTCTCTCTCTTTCTCTCCACATCGTGAATCACTTTAAAAATTGTTTCGTTCCTTCTCTTTCGGTATGTCTATGTCCTTGTCTCTGTCTGTCTCTTTCTTTGAATCTCTCTGCCCGTCTGTCTCTGTCGTCTGTTTCGCTCTCTCTCTCTCTCTCTCTCTCTCTCTCTCTCTCTCTCTCTCTCTCTCTCTCTCTCTCTCTCTCTCTCTCTGTGTCTTTCTCTCTCTCTCTCTTTCTCTCCACATCGTGAATCACTTTAAAAATTGTTTCGTTCCTTCTCTTTCGGTATGTCTATGTCCTTGTCTCTGTCTGTCTCTTTCTTTGAATCTCTCTGCCCGTCTGTCTCTGTCGTCTGTTTCGCTCTCTCTCTCTCTCTCTCTCTCTCTCTCTCTCTCTCTCTCTCTTTATCTCTTTCTCTCTCTCTCGTTTGCATGTTTCTCTATCTGCACTATCTCTCTCTCTCTCTCTCTCTCTCTCTCTTTATCTCTTTCTCTCTCTCTCGTTTGCATGTTTCTCTATCTGCACTATCTCTCTCTCTCTCTCTCTCTCTCTCTCTCTCTCTCTCTCTCTCTCTCTCTCTCTCTCTCTCTCTCTCTCTCTCCCTCTAGGAAGCTTTCTTTTTCTTGTTTGCTTTTTTCTTTCTTTGTGTGTGTGTGAGATTTATCAACTTAAAGCAGCAAATAAATGTTCTCTTTGTATAGTGTTACGAACTGGGTATGTGTTGTAGGCCCTACAATACTCAACCAGCTATCAATAGAACGATGGTTTGCTCAATATCGCCCATCCCGCATCTACATCCTGGTACATTTCCGGATTTGTTTATTATTCTTACTTATAAGCTGAGTCGGGAGTCGCCGTGGTATAGCCTCTAGACACTATCCTACGAATCAGAACGTCGTGGGTTCGGATCCTGACGAAGCCGGACTTTTTTCCAAAATATCCTTGGCTCCCAGATCGACCCAGCCTTGAGTGGGTACCAAGTGCAGTCCTGGAAAGTAAAGGCCGCTAATGTGATGCTGTCCACATCACCCACCAAGTGCTGATTGGTCTATAAAATATAGGTCTAGATCTATATTCCCAATACACCTAAAGGCGTGGGAAAAGGGTCCTTTACTTTACATTAGGCTGAGTCGACACCGTGCCCTAAGTTAGGTATCTTTACAGCCTTTACTTACCACAAGATGGTGTTTGTCGGGGGAGTGGACTTAAGCCTGAAGATTTAGAGCCGCTTGGGTGGTGCAGTCGACTTGAACTCTGCACTCTGGGCTTTAGGCTAAGATCAGTGAAGTGAAATTCACCCCACGATTGGAGATTCGATTCCATCACGTAACCTCTTTTCTAGCAAGTTTTAACCAGTGTGTATTTGTTGTTTTTTTTTCTTTTAGTTCCAATGCACATCATAGACAGACGTTTGCCCCTTAGTGTTGGATGTTTCAACCTTTAGGGGGCAAAACAAACAAAGCATTTATTTTCTATCGGTTTGGGACAGCATGTAATACTGCCCATTTTGTAACTGAGTTTTTTTTTTTTTTTTACTGTAATAGATACTTATTGGTGAGTACTGGCATATTTATTTCAGACACATTATAGTAAGCACTGACACACTGATACGCTTTTTTTCCTCCTCAAGCGATAAAAAATCCCCACAGACAACTATTAATGTAATTATGAATTCGTGAGGAAATAGCACACATTTGCACGCTTCATGGGTACTAGGCTTATAGGATTTGACCTTTATTGCATAGACCAGGGGTTCTCAACTTTCTTAACGCCGTGTCCCTTTAATACAATTCCTCGTGTTGTGGCGACCCCCCAGCCATACACATTTTTTCGTTGCTACTTTATAACTACAGCGAATATGTGTTTTCCACTGGTCTTTGGCGACCCATGTGAAAGGGTCGTTGGATCCATAAAAGGGTTGCGACCCATAGGTTGAGAACCGCTAGTATAGATCAGTCGACAGACAGAGGTTACTCTTGGCAAACTTAGTTTCAGCTTCATAGCAAACGGGTCACCCCATTGTCGCTCCACTCCTGTCCCGATGAAAAACACACAGAACGTCCATCATTGTCCGTTGTGGAAAGCGGGTGATGTAATTAGCCTCATCCCGACCGCCTTTACTTCTCAGGACTTTAGCTGGCATCCCTTGAAGGCTTTGTTAAACTAGGAGGCAATCCGGCTGCCTTCGAATTCGAACCCACGACTTTCAAATCCACAAACGGGTATTTAGCCGCTACACCACGGCGGCCGGCCCTCAGTTAGAAATTAATAATATAAGTTAATGCTGACTGGTACTGATAGAGTTCACTCCCACCAAAACAGCTTTGAATTTTGGGTCAGTGCTCCACAAGTGGACTAAGAAGGGGAAACATTATCATTATTATTTATGAAATAAATCCCTGTTGGCACATTAGTCATTCAATACTAGACTCATACTGCCATTGGCTAGACGGTATTCTGTGGGTAATTTTGTCAATGTCACGTCTGCCGCCTTTACATTTCGTCGATCTGGGAGTGAAATCATGTCATAAAACTTAGTCTCGTTGTTTATTCAATTTTTATGTGAGAAGAAAACTAGTTTTCTTAACCAATCAATCAATTAACCATTAAATTCATCAACCAATCATCTCGTTTTAAGGTGACATTTTAGTAACACGTGCCCATATATGGATTGGTGTGGCTGTCGTCTGCAGATACAAACAAATGATTCTGGTGGTGTCGGTGATGAGGTTGCTGGTGATGGTATTTGTGATAGGGTATTATCTCATGAGGCGGGGCCATAGTAGATGGTGCTGCCGGAGATTGTGCAGCCGAAGCTGCAGCTGTAGCTGCGGCTGCCGCTGCAGACCAGTGGTGGTGATGATAGTGGTGGTGATAATAGCTGCTTGGGTTGGGTGGAGTGAAGATTCCGTGGTGCATCTGTGAGACTGGTTGGTGGTAGTGATTGGCTGTAAAGTTGACAGAAGGACTTGTCCCTTGGTAGCCTGGATGTAACAGCCAATCAGAATGCATATAATGGTGTGGGTACGCCTCCGTAGGTGGAGCTGAGGGTTGTAATGCTTGTGCCAAGCCAGCAAAATCAAATTTGTAGGCGTACCTTTTGCCATGAACCTAAAATTAAATAATAAGAAAGCGAACTTATAAATTTATCCTAATTAGTCAATTTCTCGTTTTTAAAATGAACTTGCGCAACAGAACGTAATAATTTTATGAAAGATGCTAATACCCAGCTTTGTGCGGGGTTGGTTGTTCTTTGGACTTTGGTCTTGTTCCAGAACCTGCATGATGCGTGCACCACCGTTTCACAGATTTGATTAATTTGTATGCAGATTGTTGGTTCCTTGCCTCCTGGGCAGATGTACTCCCACTTCGAAGGTAGCTCCTAATCAGTCAATTCTTACGACATGCTTGGGGTGCAGTGGGTATATTCATGTTGTTCCCCACAGTGGGGCCTTGTAACACTCATGTGAACATTAAGCATTTGATGCTGGACTCATATTCTGTTTCTTAGACCAAACGGCAGTCCATTGGTGATGTGGCCACCTTACGCCGGCCGCCTTTAGCTGTTTTAGACTGATCCCAGTTGGGAACCAAGGTCAGTTCTGACCCCAAAAAAAAACCTCACTGCTCACTGAGAATGCGCTCAGATATGCCCGACTGTAGCAGCGGAGATGGCTTCAGTTCAACAAACATGCATCTTTAAGGAGAAAAAAGGGGAGCAATCCATCTGGTCCTACGGGTCACTAAGTTTTGAGTGAGTTCTCTCCTTCTATTGTTGCTTCACCTGTGGGAAGCTGGGACGCTGGCTGAAGGTTTTACATCCTTCGAGTTTAAAATCTCAGTCTGATTAAGCAAGCCAGTAAACTTGAAGCAAGATCAAACTTATAATCAAATATTCCAGTAAAGAATAAGATGACGGATATGATGGGGGAATGGGGGGGGGGGGGTGGAATGAGGTGACGGATATGATGGGGGGAATGGGGTGGGGGTGGAATGAGATGACGGATATGATGGGGGAATGGGGGGGGGGTGGAATGAGATGACGCATATGATGGGGGAATGGGGGGGGGGTGGAATGAGATGACGGATATGATGGGCGAATGGGGGGGGGGGGAGATGAGATGACGGATATGATGGGAGAATGGGGGGAGGGGGTGTGGAATGAGATGACGAATATGATGGGGGTGTGGAATGAGATGACGGATATGATAGGGGATTGGGGGGAGGGGGGGGGTGGAATGAGATGACGGATATGATGGGGGAGTGGGGGGTGGAATGAGATGACGGATATGATGGGGGTATGGGGGGGGGGCGCACTGCGCAGAGATTCCAGAGCCTAAGCTATCCTGGTGTAACCAGCAGTACTTTGCAAAGGAATCAAACAAAAATAAGAAACGTGTACACGAAGTGGCTTAGCCGTTGCGAAAGCGCTTCGTAATTTCAGGGTGCCGGGTTCGATCTCAACTGCCAACGATTTATTTTGTGTTGGTTTAGACAGTGGTCCCGAGAACTGACCTTTCTGTAAGCAATAGCAAACTACTAAACGTAAAATTTTGAGAGAAAAAAAAAGAGGGCTGGCTTTGGTTCTGCAAAGTACTGTAAAAAAAATATGCAACTAACCATATACGAAGTATGCAGTCTAATCAAATAAACAACTGCCGAGATGTTTGCTATTGGCAGAGTTCAAAGAAGTCTTTGTCCCCGCCTTCGCTCGCATTGAGCATATAGTGCTAGACCTAGATTTTTCACATCAATCGATACTTGTTGTGTGATGTGGTTAGCACCGGCCGCCTTTACTTCGCAAAACTTAACCTGCTACCCATTTTAAGGCAGGGTCGATCTGGAAGCCAAAGTCATTTTTCGAGAAAAAATGTCCGAATCTGCTGATCTGAACTCACAACCTTCAGATCTGCAGGCGGGCTTCTAGCCGCTACACTACGGTGGTTCCCACTCAGAGTTAAAGCAGAGAGTTAAAGATCACCTTGGTCATGATGTTCTTGTCGTAGTAATACCGGAGTGCCCGGCTCAGTTTGTCGTAGTTCATGTTGGGCTTAGACTTCCGCTCCCCCCATCTACGAGCTACTTCGTCCGGATCCACCAATTTGAATTCGCCGTTGTTGCCTTCCCAGGTGATGCAGGCCGTGTTGCGGACGTCGGAAAGAAGCTCCAATAGAAACTGCCATAGTTGGATTTGACCGGAACCTGAAGAGAAATTGAAGATTTGCTTTTACCTGTACATTAATCTTTCAGACCCGTGAACTTTGTTAAAAAGGAATTTGAAAATCAAAACGTATGTATTTTTTAGAGCAGTGGTTTCAATATGGGGTAGGGGGCAAATGGAATTGTCAAGGGGAAGTTCATGCAATTTTTACATTTCATTTGTACTTGGAATGATTTGTTATAATAACATTTGTTTCCTCGGTTTAATTAATAAGTAAAATATTTTTAGAACTATTTATAAAACGAAATGCCAAAGATTTTTCACTTTTAATCTTCTTCTTCTTTCGTTCGCATGAAATAAATTGTCTATATCTGCAAAGCTGTCTCTAGTATGAATTTCACTGTCTTTTGTAATTCACTAAGCGGCCCGTAAAGTTTGACTTCCACAAGTGTCTCTTTTTCCCAAAGGTTTTGCCTGAAAGCGTTGAATCTGGGACAGTCTTGAAGGATGTGATCTGTTGTTTCAGGTGCCAGTCCACAAGTACACATGGCTGATTGGCCAATCTTAAATTTGTTGTACATGTGGGAGCGAAGTCGATTGTGCCCTGTTCTAAGGCGAAGGATAATGACTTGCTCTGGTCTGTCCATAATATGGTAATCATCTTGTGCCAGTTTCGGTGGCATTCTGATTGATTTGATCATTCTCTTCTTCTGTTGAAGGATGTGTGTACATCTATCGTGAAGAATCTGATTAGCAGGATATAGGCTAACACAGTTCCTGAATTTATTTTTATTAAAATGTTCTCTTTTTAATCACATTTTTTATAGTGGAAAAGGGGCGGGGGAGGAGGGTGTTGGAGGCCCTGACATATATTCAAGGTGGGTCGCAACTTGAAAAGTTGAAAACCACGGCTTAAGAGCAATGTTCTCCAGCCTGTTGTCCGCGAAAGTGGTAGTGGTAGTAATGATTCAACCCTATCATACCGTACGACGAGCGACCAACACCCGATAACACAAAGTGCTACCATTCGGATGAGGATAACCCAGGCACAAGTCCCTGAAACACCGTTAAACCTTTAGGTTATATTAGGACCCCCGACCACAGCCGGGTTAGGGCTTTAAAAAAAAAAAACGAAAAATTGCGTCCCACATAAGGGCAGCTTTGACTGTTGAAAATTAGGTCCGTGAAAATGCTAAGAATTCCCGCCTAATCATAAAGGGGCTACATGATTCCCACAATTCATTGCTGCATTGCTAGATAAAGAAATCAAGTGTATGTTGTTTTACCGTTGCGTCTATCAGAAACAACGCGTCAGCTATGTATGCACGATTTTCTACCGTGTAAGCAGAAGCAGAGATCGAATTAGCTGAAAATTGTAATTTTATTGCATGGTATTTAACAAACTGCTATTTTTTATTTTCGTCCTATTTTGGTTTGCTTTAGGTTGCTCCGAGAAACAATATTCCTTGGCTTGGCTAAAAAGGTGTCAGTACTGCATACAGACGCGTACCACCAAGAAATCTAGCCCAGGTGGTGATGTTGATAATGAGTATGATGATAATGATGATGATGATGATGATGATGATGATGATGATGATGATGATGATGATGTTGATGATGATGAAGATTAGTGACGGCACATATGTGTTAATTACCTGATGTTGTTAATCTGTTTGTCAGCTGACTGAACAGCTTGTAAGGGTCTGAAAATGAAATCATACATGATGATAAAGACGGAAGCATTCTGTGTTTACAGTACAGCACAAGTAAAGAGCCCTTTTCCACACATTCAGACTTACTGGGCATTTAGACCTCAACTTAGATTTTATAGACTACTCGACACTGTGTGAGTGATGTGGTCAACCCTACGCCAGCCGCCTTTGCTTTCCGTGACTTTACCTGCTACCCATTTCAGGCTGGGTCGACCTAGGACCGTTTTTAAAAAAGGCCACGACCTGAACCCGTGACCTCCGGATCCGTAGGCGAGCGACTAGCCGCTTCGCCACGGCGGCTCCCTTACAGTTACTGTAACACCCGGTTAACGCGAATTCCAAGGGGTCTACTAGTCAATAGTTCGTGTTTAAGAAATTCCTGACAAGCGAGGACTTGTCCGTCTGCATTTTTAACCCCCAGTGGAGCATAGGGCCTCAACCAACGCAGGCCAGGTCGTTCTATCCTTCGCTATCGCATGCAGCTCTTTCCATGCCCCCCACATCTTGAAAACGTGTTTTTTTTTTTCCTTCCTTTATTTCTATGCCCCTGTGGGTTCTATTGCAAAGACAGTCTAGTTTTTTTTTCTCAGGTTTTCTCAACGTGTGTCTTATCCAAAGCAAGCACCTTTTTTTTTTTTACCTCTTAGTCCACTGGAACTTATTTAGTTCTCACCCAAAGCTCTACATTAGTGATTCTATCATAACATTTAATTCTCACTATTCTGCGCAGGCACCAGTTAATGAATGTCTATAGTTTATTTTTTAGTAATTAAATTGCCTTAGTTGTTCTCCATGTTTCCGCTCCATGTAAAAGTACTGATTCAGAATTTAAAATGTGTTGTCAATTCCTAAATGGAGAGATTCTGTGACAAATGGGCTTTGAACACAGTTTCACAATTCCAGCATACAAGTATTAAAACTCATCAAAAGGCAGTTTGGTAGCAGACCGTGTTGCGTCGATCCCAACAACAGGGCGAGCAGGTACCCTTCAGGTGACAATGACGAACTCATGAATGAAAACAAAAAAACTGCATAGCATAACTATAAACAATGATAAATGCTGATATCCAGTTAACGTAGCAAGCTCTCCAAGATCCATAGGAGGGCTTTTTTTCTTCTTCTTCTTTTCTACAGTCGCCCTCTAAAGAGCGGTCGGCACGTTGTGTTGTGGTTTACAGCTGGACTCTGATACCTGCGGCTTCTAGCCGAACATTTTTTCAAGTAAAGTACAGTAAAGGATCGGATATTCAATCAGTTACCGATGCCGTCGTAACTGCTGAAGATGGAGACGGAGCGCTTATGGGAAGTGCCCTAAGAACTGTGATGTCGATTCCTAATTCAACATTCAACATTTAGTAGCTTCCATAGTCTGTCGTATGTACATGTCTCTTACCTGCGATGCGGATGTGTGGGTGTCTGTCTTCACTGATGGCTGGATTCAAATGTGAAGGGAACGGGTAGGTGCCTTCTTCAGGGTATCCTGTAGGTAAAATATATTTTAATACAAATATAAACAGCTAGTATATTGACAGTATTATGACACTTGTTAAATGCATTGGAAAACACATGCCTGAGAAAATACTGAACATAGAATGTGATGACATCAAGTTAGTTAGTTGCATATCTTTTACAGGACGTTGCAGAACCAACCTTAGCATTTTCTGGCTGTTGTGTTTATTCTAGACAAATTGTAGTAGTTTGCATTGCTTTCATTATAAAATAGTTTTCTTATTTTAATTTTATGTTTTTTTTTCTGTAACTTATTATAATTTATATTATATTTATATATTACAAAAGACAGTGAATTTCATTCTAGAGACAACATTGCAGATATAAATAATTTGTTTCAAGCGAACGAAAGAAGAAAAAGAAGAAAAATTTATATTCTCATTTATTGAAAGCATTAATGTAACTAATATCGTTTATTTATGTTTTTTATACAATCATTATAATTCAATAATAACGTCAAGTGTTTTAACTGACGAACGAAATCTGGGTGACGACCTTATCTAGGGCTTATATTTGGAGTAAGGCTTTTAATACGAGCATCCTAAAAAAAAACAGGTTTATATCCTGGTTACCCGGCTCGCTAACGTAATTAGTTAAACCTGACTGCGCGGCGACCAGGTGAAGAACTTCTTGTGGTCCAGGTTCACTCCCAGGAGTTGATAGAAAAGCCAAATTTCTCCCAGATGTTCTGTATCTATCATGGAATCAAGACCGAAGGGTTGCGATATCCATAGTACCAAGCCAAAGGACAAACAACTCATTTTTTCTGGATATTTAAGGGGCGGGGGGACAATTTCCTGGTTAGGTCTTATTTCAGGGGTTTGGGTCTTATTTTTAGCATTTCACATCTGCATAGGGCGTCAGACTGGAATCTCGTGAGCTAAGCAGACCATGATTGAAAACCTCACGTAGGAATTGACTGAGTGACGTTCAACCTCACTAGGGCTGCAGACTGAGCGATTAACACACTGAGACACAAAGTGCCACCCTTTGGATGAAAATCATCCAGGCACAAGTCCCAGAAATCCCGTTTAACCGTTAGGTTACATAAGGACCCCCGATGATAGCAGGGTTGGAGTTTTAACCCCCCCCCCCCCCCCTTTTTTTTTTTTTTTTTTTTTGGTCCTATATTGGGTGGCAGTATATTTTAGGATTGAATGGGGATGTGTTTATGTTTAAGTTGGTACTAATATTTTTTCCCTGCTTACTCATCTCGTCATCTCTTTGTGGGATGCAATTTTTCGCTATTTTGAAATCTCACCCTGACTTTTGCCGGGGGCCCTGAATAAAGCCGGGCCTGCAATATGGCCTAACGGCTGAACGGGATTTCCGGGACCTCTTCACAGGTGATCGTCATCCGCATGGTGGCACTTTGTGGCACCGTGTGTTTGTCGCTTGTGTGGTGTCCTGGTGGGGTACAACTTACTTATTAAAGTTGGTACATTTTTTTTATACATTGCCAACAGGTTCCAGTCTATTATATGCAGAGCTAGTTGGTTAATCAATCAGTCAGAGCTAGTTGGTTAATCAGTCAGAGCTAGTTGGTTAATCAGTCAGAGCTAGTTGGTTAATCAGTCAGAGCTAGTTAGTTAATCAGTCAGAGCTAGTTGGTTAATCAGTCAGAGCTAGTTGGTTAATCAGTCGACAGATTATCCTCAATGCACATAGAATCATTCATTCCATAAGTGAATCAGAACCCCTACTCAGTAAATCTCGCAGCGTGTAGCGGCTGACGACACGAGTTCTGTGTTTGCTTCTTTTTCTTCTTTAACTTCCTGAATATTGTGCTTGCCTGACCACACCCCTTTTTAAATGTTGTT